CCTGTTGGTTACAGGGTTTACTTTCTTTTTGTTTTTATATTTTAAAATATTTCTTTATTTGTGAAATATACTGTAATAGAATTATAGAATCAGGAAGTTGTCAACTAAAGTATAAGTATGTTTATTTTACACATTTATTTTTAATATAATTCATTTTCAAAATATTTCAAGTTTCTCAAACATTAATTAAAATAAATAAAAATTATAATTAAAATAAAAAATATACTTATATATATCGAAATATACTTATATATATATCGATATCTTAGACCCTGCTCTCTAAGATATCGGCATCGGCTGTCAAAAAACAAATATCGGTCGACCACTAATGGAGATGGGAGAGAGGACGAGGACTATTCTTTTGGGACTTTTTATTAGAAAGAAAAGCAAACTTTTCATGGCAGGGTTTCTGTCTTCCAGGATGAACATGTGAGACTAGATGAAATAAACGATATAGATTCCAAAGGCAGAGCAGTGAAGAGCTTGTGAGATACAGAATGACTTTAATGCTGGAGGAATCCTCTATTCAGATCATCCTTTCATCAAAATCGAGGTCTCCATTTCAGAGAAAAATGTCAGTGATGGAGGTCAGAGGATCAATAATAGTGATCCGAGTTAAACTGACCAGCATTTCCATTTGAAGCCCAAAATCACATTAAGCGAGTCCTGTATTTTCATGGTCCAAAAGAAGCTTTTGTTGATGAGATATATCATGTGTGGGCAAAGTATTTAAGCTTTCAGTCACGCAAGAGGGACATTTCAGCTGAGATAATTAGTTCGGACTTACGATAGGAGAGCCTAGACAGGAAATGATGCCATGCTATTATTGTGCCTTGAATGTCATATTAGCCTGTGTGCTGAAGTCGCTAAAGACACGCTTAATGACTATAGATAATGTCAGCTCTAAAATTGCAGCTTGTGTGTCTGATGCATGATTTCATACTACGCAAAAGTCATTTACCAGTAACCATTTGGAGAAGCCAACCACAAAAATCCTCCGTATGGAAAGTGTTCAATCATGAAATCAAAACTGACCTCATGCATGACACGCAAGGGCACATTATCCTTAAGAAGAAAAAATGTTTTTATCAAAATGTATTTTTTTTATAGCCATATAGCCAATAGCCAGTGCCGATATGTAGAAATGTCAGATATATGCCAGTATATTTTACATTCTGAAATCTGACTGGATATTCAATAAGAAAAAATGTAGGGTGGGATTTAGATTTAAAAAAAAAAGTCAATTACATAGCAGAATAGAGCTACAGTAGGTGGATGAAGGCGCAGGGTAAGAGTCATTCGCAAGGGAAGCAATTTCACAGGCTGAGCTAGTTACATTACATTTTGATAAAGAAAACTTTATTTTATTCAAAATGTTATACACTGATGAATCAAGTGCAATATGACTAGGAATGTGCACTGAAAAAGCCAATAGGGTATATTTTGATTTCATGCTGACTTTAATGATGGCAAGTGAACAGGAATTGATTGACCACAGGAGCCATAGTCCTCTAAGGGAGCCTCAAGCTGTAACCAGTTTTTCCAACAATGACTCATTCCAAACATCCAAACAGCTTCATCACTTCATACTGATGAATCGATTTATTCAGGTTTTTAAGGAAAAAAAATTGAATAGAAGTCACTGATGGGTGACTGTTCTGTTCTCAAAATGTTGTACATTTTCGATCACTTATAACATCAGAACCGTGGTTAACCAGCATGAAAGGTTGTCAGGGAGAGTGTGTGCAGAGATGCTAAATAATCATTATCTGTCACTTTGATGGACTGGGTTGTAAATTTACTATCATCTTTTGTTTATCTGTCAGTAAATATTGTAGCACTTGGAACTTTTTATGTGACATTGATATCAGAAGAAGTTCTCTTGCTTTTAGGCTTATCTTGTGCTATGTTGAAGGTTATGGCTACATTTTATTCTGATCACTCAATATGACAGACAACTGAAGCCGTTTTGCAATTTGGTCAACCAATTTAATGAACAATGTCCCATGAATTATTCCACTGGTCTACAGGTGTGCACTTGTTTATCTTCCCACATCCTCACTCACGTCTCTGTCTCCAGTTGTCTGGTTTTTCATTTGCTTCTTTTTCTTTAAAACTTTTTTAAAGATTTACTTTTAATCCCTTTTACCAACTTTTAGTGTGGGAATTTGTCTAAAAGACGAACCCCCAGTAGAACAGATAC